GAATCACTTCCTGTTCGTCTCCTTTGACGAATTTATTCTTTTCGCGGAGGGAGAAAGTTATATCTATGAATTAATAAAATTATTTACAATAGTTACTTACCAAGTTTTGTGGTGTTGTGAAGCGAGTGGTCAAACGTGCACTGTGTACCGACGCCGGAAAGCGACTGACTCGGCCGGCTGACGTGCGTACTCCGCGGCCCGCGCGGCCCGCGGGCGTGTGCGAGAGGGTGGCTGGCTCGCGGTCTGATACGGTAGCTGAATAATAATATTTTTGTTATAGATCGCCACCACGTATGCTCAAGTCGGATGATTCATGGCGAACAGTTCCTATCGCTTTGTTGAAAACTTAAAAACAAATGGCAGGAAAGAGGCTTAATGGGTGACGTCATTCGATCGCTATTCTTTGTTTATCGGTAAATGATTGTCAGAGGTAAACGGCTTGTACAGTACTTACCTACTAGTATTTATTCTGTGGTTTTGGTAGAAATAAATCCGGCAACAAACACCATCTGTTATCTAAACCTGTAGGAATGTTATTTCAACTAGGCTGACTGACCTAAAATAATACAAGGAAAACATTAAACAAGTATTCTATTTTACCATATCATTGTCCTTTTGAATGCTTTAAATATTTTAATTGTATTTTTGAATCAAAGGTAAGCAGCAGAGCGAGGCGAGATGCTGCTCTACTAAGAAACTTGCTTATTTATTAGTAGTTCAGCATCGATATAATGCAATAATGATTAATAAATCTTTAGTAACCATCAAACATTTCGACCGACGAGCCACCACCCCAACGACACCGCCAGCCAGTGAATCACCGGCCGGGCGGCGAGGGAGCCGCTCCAGTTGATACAAAGTTATTTTTTATTTCACTTATTCACATCACAGAATTAAAAGATGACGCTCCGTCGCGCCGCGAACGCATTCCATCAATTTGAAATAAGTTACTGAGCACGCAAGATAAATTTAATAACTAAAAAGTTGTATCGTGCCTCAGCTGTTAGACCCGAGTTGCCCGTGAAGGAGAAAGATCTCGTCATTAAGACCAATCATGCGAAAGCGAAATCCCGCTTCAATGATTTCAGTTTATCCAAGTAATAGTAGCTGTAGACGACTTCTATGTGCCATTAGCCTACTAGTCCTGCTGCTGAACAAAGATTATTGTGATTGCTATCACTCAAAACGTATCATTTTCGATTGATCGAGCGAAACAGATTAGTTTCATGACCGTTAAAACAATCGCAACAATTAATTACACGCGCTCTTTGTTTAGTGATTTTTAACTATCGGGGACGCCCGGTCTGTTTCAATTTTAATTTGTTTACTAATATACAACAACAGGCATAGTAGCACTTAGAGTAGGCGCACACCGTTGATTTTTAGTTGGCCGATAGTTGTGCACGGTGTGCGCCTACTCTTAATCGAGTAGGTGTCTGCTGTAGTGGACCATCCATTTTCTTAAGATATTTCCCCTCCAAAGGTACAGGTTTTTTTTACGTTACTCCCACTTCTTCAACAGACATAGTGGAATAATGAACTTAGTTTTGTTGCGGATTGCGGACCGTGTCTTGTCTTAGCTACCTAGCAGTCACTTTATTTTTATTGAATTTCAATTCACAAACTATTTGCGAAAGAATGTCAAAATTGTGTTTCTGAACAAAGTTCTTCCTGGGTGCACATTTGGTGTGATTCAGAGACCTTTTTGGTCCTCCTCGGTTGGGGGATGTATTTAGGGTTTGTACTTAGTTGGTATAGTTTTAAAAATGGCCAAAAATGTAAATTTAATTGATGCGACGACAGGGTTTATCCAAGTTAAACATGCTAACAAGTAATCAAAAGGTTAACACCAATTTTATGCACATTTTTCCGCCATTCTTTAAAATTTTACAATTAAATGATATTGGGTTTAGGTAAATAAAATTCAGAAATGCTGAAAGGAAAATTTTTATTAATCATTCTTTTTTCTCTTATTCAATCTTTTCTTTCAAATTTCTTTTTTCATTTTTTTCATAAAAATAACTACAATAGTTCAATATTTCCTTTAATTCCTAATCTTAAGACCTAAGTTTATTCTTCCCATAATTAAGTCGGGAGGCCCGTTGGGGTTCGTCTCACACCACACACATCAGATAGGCACTATAAAAATTATTTCATAATTACAGGAACAAAACATTATTTTCTAGTGGGAATTTTTTAATTTTTCTAGTCAGCCTTTTTTTATTTTTCAACTTTAAAGACTGAACCAAAGTATTTCTGTGGTACATTATTATTACATTAATTACTAAAACATTACTTTAACTGCATGCGGTTAATTTCATATTTATTTTCACAAGTAAAATTAAATTTCTAATCATGTGACAAAGTTAGTAGGTACACCCAAATAAGCATTTCTATTTCTTTCACGCACACAAGCAAATTCTGAACCCCAACTGGACGAAACAATTAAAATTAAAATATTAATTAAAGAAAATAAACATGTTAAATAAAAAAAACAACAATTCAATAGATCCTCTTTACGGTAGGACACGATGGTGGGATAGTTTTAGACATAAACCTTCTACAATTTACATTGCCGCGTATCAAGCGTATTTATCACATTGTTTTTACTTCTCAATAACTAATTTACACATTTACAAATTTTAACAGGAGTCAAACAATAAATCTTAATTATTTTTGCGGAGCACTTATAGTGGCAGAATAAGGACGCTCGAAATTCCTATGACTAACCTATACCTAATAATTAAAATAAAATACTCTGTTCGCGTATCTCGCTAGGACAGTGAAGAAAAGGTGGTATTGAGAAGAATGAAGAAGTAAATCCTAGCTTCCCCGCGTGCACAGAGGGCTGGTATTCATTTAAAAGCACAAAATGTTAAGTGTTAAGGGTCAGTGGTGTTACATGTTATAAACATTATCATTTATGGACGCGTTATTTTGTTAACTGAACCTCGAATGAAAACAGAGTTAAAACAACGCTGAGAAAGAAAGCTGAAAATTGAGAAATCATTAGCCCATGAAATACTTTTCTTTCTTCTTCGGGAATCCATTACAAAGTTAATTAACTCATTAGTACTAAGACTTGATCATTGGATTTTCCATACATAATGGCATCTTTGCATGTACTTATTCAACAAATGCAGGTTTGTTTAAATATTTTATAGTAGTAAATGATAAGTATTTCTCTTCACACACGCAATCTACTGAGTAGACGCGGACCCCACATGAGCGTTGGACACACCAACTTAACATTGAGTACATTTACAACAATATAAACCGCCATGTTCGCCATACATGTTGCTTGATACAATGTACAAACCTAAACCTAACTTTATAATATACTCCGATATATTGTGCATTGGCTAATAAGCTCTAACTAATATAAAAGCTCATTCACTGCGCCAACCAGTAACTAAATAGACCGACCGATAGACTAGTCTTATGCCGTGAAAATCAATGTCAAAGCACTTATTTTATAATATAATAATTGCAACAAAACATATAGCTAACTGTCTATAATGAAAAAAAAAAAGGAAACTTAATTCTACATGTAATCGGAAAATAAGACTTTTAAATAAATTCCGACGCCACAGATTTGCGATTGAACACAACACGAAGGTTCCATAATGGTAGCTAACTACGCTTCACGCTCTCTTCAGAACCTGTACTTAACAAAAAATATATGGGGATGTTTTAATGTATAGCCCATGTAATATAACCCAGAACTAACGCCAAAGTCACTTAATGTGTATCATATTGGCCAATAGAATGTCACTATGACGAATCCTATTCAAAAACTATCAGCCTGTTTATAGCATGGGTTGACATTTACTCTTGTCCATATTGGAGTATTTCTCAAAAAAAATGTACATTTTGAAAAAAAAAGTGTGCTTTGAAACAGTTCAAAAGTTTTATATTTATAAATCATCACACAAAAAAAACACACACACAATTTTGAAGGATGAATATTAATCTTTAAGATAACGAAGAATTATTAGTCCAGTCATTTCGTCCGAAAAAAAGGCAAATAAAAGAAAATGAATTTGCGCTTCTAATTTTTTAATATGTTGTAGGGGATACCTAGAAAAGCTTAACTTGAGATTGTCGACCAAGCTTTCCTAGGAGCTTTCGCCGCCATCTTGGAAAACGCTTAAAATTTGTTTTTCGGCAATAACTCGGCTATCCGATGAGATTCGAAAATTTTTGTAGGACACTTTTTGTAGCTTTCTTTGTGCTCTACAATAACGCCCGAACCATTTTTAGCGTATCATGCATCGTTATCGAGATATCGATCGATAAAGTCAAAAATTTTGGACACAATTTTTGTTTTTTTCTTTTTTTTTCTTTGGGTCTTAATAAATATGAAAAATTCCGAAATAATTAAATAATTAATTAAAAAGTAAAAAGTAAAATTTAATTACTTTTAATTACTTTTTTCTGATCTCATTTTGTCTAATATTTCGTTACGTTTTTTGCGAATTTCGTTACGTTACGAAAAAGTACAACATAATGCTGAGTGTATACTGTTATTACCTGACTAAGCATAGTAATATTCACTACTTAATTAATTTCAAAAAATATAGAGCGTTAATAACAAAAGGATTGGATACTATCCGCTTTACAGAAGTGCCACCAGCAAAAAATTATCAAATCATTTAGATTACGTTTTTATGTGATTACTTCTTTTGTTTTTTTAGGAATGCCGCCAAAAACCAATGCCGAAAGGCAAAAAGCTTACAGAGAACGACTCAAAATGGATAAACATGATGGAACAAAAATAATTTTATTAAAATAGTATGAATGATTACTCCCTTATTTTATTTCTAACCCCTTAATATTACCCCGTATTTGGGTGCATACTTACAAATATTTCGAATTGAATAAATAAAGAGCATTCACAATATTTCGCCAATGTATAACAAGCCTTATGGCCTTACTATTTCGTTACTACCGTTTCGTTACGTACACTTTTTTTGAGAAATACTCATTGACTTTATTTGCTATCAGAAATTATAAGAAGAGATCGCAACACTGTGGCGATTCTTGCACCTAACTAGAATATTACTTGCAATAGCAAAACATATAATATAATCGCAAGCTTGCTCACTACTTCACAACTATTCATTTACTAGTAAAGTCTTCATTTGCCCTGTCATCTAGTTTCTAGCTGAAGTAATTTCTTAGTTTTGAAATGTATTAAATCAGGCAGAAGATTGGACGAAAGAAATGTATTCTACGAGTGCTACTTTGCCACTAAAACAACTATACTTCTATTAAATAATATGTGAACTTATAAGTCGACAGTTTGTATTAAATTAACGGCCTTCATTCAAATTTTCTTTGGATCTCAGTAATTTTTGTATGTATCCTATTAACCTGGCACAGATAGTTATTTTTTTTAGCTCTGTCACCCAGTTTCATATCTCATTTAAAAGACTAATTAATTCAATGAGTATCATTAGTAGTTAATATTATTTTTACAGCACATATTAATGTAAACTAGGTACTCATCGAAACTTTTGGCAATTTTTACAGACCTGAGATCCGTCCTACTTAATCCATACGAAACCTAACCTAATCATTATTATACGAATATATTAACTCTGCAAAGCGGCTATATACAATATTATATACAGTGCATTTTACGTTTCGGATCGTTCGAATTTAACTAATATAGATTTAGTTCAGACAATAAGCTAATCTCGACTTAAGTATGGGAAGAATGATTATCCCGGCTTGATGATAATATCAATCGCTTAATTATTTCATAGCAGACACCATTATCACACAGCCAAAATTAGAAATTATAAGTTGTGAGTTGAAGAATATTTATACGAGATTTATACCATGTGCACATTTATTTGTACAAGACTATTTTCCTGAAATGTAAGATGTGGTGAAGACGAATGGATGTTGAAAGCAACAAATCCTAAAGACACTTGAACTAAGCTCTGGGCCAGGCTACACTGCAGAATGGAGCGAAGCTGCTGATCACGGAGGCCTCCAAAGGGCGACGAGTAATGCCGTGGGTGTTGCCAAGTTTTGAACTAGACCTAATAGTTATTAGGGCAAGTGTTGACGAGCCGGTTTCTACCCAGTCCGGTATCGAACTGGAGCCGGTAAGTGCATGTGTTGTGTACGCCATTACCGGTACCGGCCCGACGCAGGACCGGGTAAAAACCGGCTCGTCAACACACGCCCTAATGTCATTATAGCAGACCAATACGAAGTAAAACACCACTCTATTAACAGGAATGATTATGATGATTAATAATAATAGCACATGGTAAAAGTCCTGAGGCGGAATTGTGTAAAGCAATCGTTATCATTTGACAGTTCATAACGTACGATTATTCTGTCAAACGATTTGTTTATAGATGACCCACGCTGAACTGTCCCACCAAACTCAATGACAGGGGGGCGCTACCATCGTTCAACTATATGGTTTCCGACATGACAAAAATCTGAACCAGCGATCCGGTATTGACGGTGGCGCCCCACTGTCAATGTCATCGACAGGACAGTCCAGTATTTTGGAACTATAACTGACTTTATCGTACGTTATGAACTGTCAAATGATTACGATTGCTTTACACAATTCCACCTCTGATCAGATAAATGTTGAATCCCATCAAAAACAATACTTGTCAAAAAAACCAAGTCTCGCAACTCAGTTGTTCTACGGTAAAAAGTTGTGAGATCCATGTAATACCAAGTCCAGGCCAGGAAATCTTTAACGTTTTACATAAATTATTGACTTGGCCATCGCACTAAATAATTTAATTTACACGTGTTTTCATGCGATGGCCAAGTCAATATATTTATGTAAAACGTTAAAGATTTCCTGGCCTGGACTTGGTATTACATGGATCTCACAACTTTTTACCGTAGAACAACTGAGTTGCGAGACTTGGTTTTTTTGACAAGTATTGTTTTTGATGGGATCTCATTTCTTTTTGTATTTTGTAGACAGCAGTTATGTATCTAGAAAACTGGACCGAAATTGAAAAATTTTACTCGACTTGGCGGTTGCACTACCGTGCCCCCAAATCTCATTTCTTTTTGTATTTTGTAGACAGCAGTTATGTATCTAGAAAACTGGACCGAAATTGAAAAATTTTACTCGACTTGGCGGTTGCACTACCGTGCCCCCAAATATTTTAGTTTTTCCTTGATTCATACACCAAACACTACTTATATTCCAAATTTGAAGCTTCTAGGTCTGCTAGAAGTGCCTTAGAATTTTGATGATCGGTGAGTCAGTCAGTGAGTCAGTGAGTCAGTGAGTGACAAAATTAAGTAACTTTGACCCGTTATAATTCTTAAACTACTGGTTCAAATTGAATGAAATTTGAAATATACCGTGTCTTTACAATGCCTGCATAGCTAATGAAAATTCAGCCTTCTAGTTGTATCCACAACGAAGTTACAGGCGGTCGAAAATGGCCTGAATTGCTTCGAGAAAAGGATGGTACGGCCGTGCCGCTTTTTTGCTCGACTTGGTGGGGGCACTGCCGTGCCCCCAGATATTGGAATTACTATGAAGCAGTATATTTTTAACAATTTGGTAACTACATTTTGATCATAGCCGCTCGTCGGCAGAGTTAATTCCCTAGGCTGTGTGAGAACGGCGTCCATCCTGCCAGGCGTCGCCTTTCACATCACGACCGCTTTGAGCACATTGCTCACTTTGCAGTTGCAAATCGGACACCTCCGGGCTTTCGACCACACCTTCACGGCGCAGTTGTAACAGCAGCATATGTGGGCCACGCGGCGGTGCACGAACACCCCGGACTTCGGCTCCGTGAGGCATATGATACAGAGGTTGTCCTTCTCGGATTTGCAGTCGATCGTCTCGATCGTCACGGCCGGGTCGCTCACGGTCTTAACTAGGGGCGCGACTTCGACTTCGTCGGTGTTTCGATCGGACTCCGAGCCGGAGTTGAGCCTCGGCCGCTTGTAGGACCGGTCGGCCGATTCGGATCGGCGTTTGAGCTTACCTAGCCTCGAGGGGCCCTCGCCGGCTTTGTTGGGGGCGACCTTCTGGCTGCCAGCGGGGCCTTCCTGGCTGCCAGCAGGGCCTTCCTGGCTGGACGCCAGCTCCTGGCTGTTGAGCGACTCGATGCCTGAGTCCTGGGACAGCGCAAGCGTGACGACCTCTTGGCTGGAAGTCTCCCGTTTTAGCTTGCGTCTCGGCCGTGGCGGGAAGAAGTTCTTTCGGAGCTGGAATGGAGATAGTTTTCGATAAGCAACTATACAAATTCAAAGTCATCGTTGACCAAACATTCAACTCTTTTCTATTTAGGAAAAAAAGGCATAAACATAAAGGGAAATATGAAAGGAATACAACCCTTTCGAGCGTTTTTACACACTACAGTTACTCGCGAAACCAACACAAGGATGGAAGGTTCATAAATGAAGGTCGTGGAGAGCACTTGTATGAGGGCAGCGCAGGACCGATCTTGGTGAGGCCTTTGACCAGCAATGGTCTTCCTTTGTCTGAAATGACGATGCTAACACGTTAGGCGAACTATGATACCAAACCAAATATACGCAAAGAGCTTTGCTAAATTGCTACTAGAAGAGCATTGGTAAGTACCAGATTATCAGAAGCCATTACACCTCATCAAGGTTGCGGCTAATCGGCCAATCTGGAAACCATGGTAGGAGGCCTATTTTCAGCAGTGGACGACCTGTGGCTACAACAATGATGATATCAATCCACATACCGTGAAGCACTTGTCGCAGTATCGGTATCTCGTGTTGTGGTTGGCGGCTCGGCAGCGAGCACAGCTTCGGTAGGCCGGCAGCTGGCCCTCGGCCTCCGACGCCGCCGACCCTGTCTCGGAGTCGGCCAACTGCAGGTCGTCGTCGCGAGCCGCCACCGACACCACCGTCGTCGAGATCAGCTCGGCCTGGTGGAGAGGATAATATACAACTGCTTCTATGGTGGGATTGGCCTAGTCCGAGGGGTTTTGGTGTGAAATCTACTCGGCAAATCTCAGATTTCGTGCTAGCGCGAAGTCTTTTCAGTTTATGGAGGGAAAGGCAAGTCACTGTAGAGTGATTGAAGCAGCAGTCACTGAAGAAACTTAATGGGCAATGTTCGTATAGATAGTTCGTAAAGGGCGCTTTTGTATTAGAGAAAAAAGTACCTTCGAGTACAATAGTGTTAAACAATTTGTAAAGGGTGGATTATTCAATTTTTAAATTATGCAACTCAAAATACATACAGTCGTGGTCAACTAATTAGGGACTTATATGACTTAAACACAAGACCGTCTCTCCAGTCCGAAAAAAAAATCTTTACGAGGCTTTGTAGCTTGTGCCTATTAATAACAAGTAATTTGGCTAGTATTCTAAATATTTAAAGGCCAGAAAAGAAACTAGCTAGTTGCGATCAATATTTTTAAAAGAAATAAATCATTGCCACCTACACATTTATTGACCTAGGGATGGACAACTAATTAGGGACACGTAACACTTTCACTGTAAATGTAAATAAATTGGAAATTATTTAAGTGTTTATTACATAAAAAGTTTTCATTAATAAATATAGAATACAAAACAAAATCATCAAACGTATTTTTATAACCAATATGGTTGGTTTTGTTGGTTATAACCATTTGACATCGGCGCGGCATGGATGCAATCAAATCAGTACAGGTTTCTAAAGAAATATTATTCCAAACACCATTAAATGCCACGAAAAGCTGTTTTTTAGTGCCAGTACGTTGAGCTGCAACTTTTTCCTTCGTTTCATACCATAAGCTCTATAGGGCTTAAGTCTGAGTTGTTTTCGGGCCAATCTAGTACCGTCACTGACTGTTGCGCTAGGAACGATTAAACAGAGTACGCGGTATGTTTTGGGTCGTTATCGTGTTGAAATGTTCATGAGACTGGTAAGACTTCTTCAGCATACGATAGCATCGTTTTCTCCAATATTTATTTGTATTGGAATTGCTCAAGTTTAACTTCAGTTCTTTTTATAGGTTACACTCTATGTCCAGAAAAACAGTCCCAGATTTTTATTTTGCCGCCTGTATGTTTCACCTGCTTCTTCGTTTACTTTGGTATCATTTCGGACTTTACAGGTCGTCGCACGTATTGTCTGTCATCGGATGAAATAAGATTTATCTTGATCTCATCAGAAAACAGCACATTTATCCATTGAGCAAAAGCCTAATGTCCATACTTTCTTGCAAACGCCAATCTTGCTTCTTTGTGTTCCATCTTCAGTAGTGGAACTTTTCGAGGAACTCTTCCTACAAGCTTTGCCTCCACCAGTCGCCTTCTGACGGTCCTCGCAGATACTCCAGCAGTCGGTTCTGGTCCAAAAATCTCGCTCTTGATCAGAACGAAACCCTTAAAGGGGTCTCTCTTTGCGAGAGTGACCATTCTGCGATCCATCTTGTGGGGTTGTTTTTATTGGCCTCTTCCTTCTAGGCATACTTTCTGTGGTTTCATGATTTTGAAATAAGCCACTGCATCGTAGATTCATGTTTTTGGAACATTTCAGATGATCTGCAATTTACCGGTATGGCCATCCACACTGATAAAGATTGATTATAACTTAGCGCATTGTTGCTTTTCTTTCAGCCCATTACCTTTAATAGTTTGATGAGTTTTTAATTCGCAAGATAAGAATATCGCTTTTCAAATTGACGCCGAAATTACAAATGAACAGAATAAAAGTTATTACTTTTTATTTTTTTTTAATTTAGAAGGAAAAACTTAAGCGTCCCTAATTAGGTGGCCAGACCGTCCGTACCATAATTACCGATTCATGTGATTTGATTAAGATTTTTTATTAAGTTAGTAAGTTTTTTTGTTGTTATTGTATTCTGTTAAATAGAGTACTTGATAGTCAATAATATGTTTACAAAGTAACTGCCAGTAATATTGAATGAAGCTCACAATAATAGGATATGAACACTTAGTATTGCTTAGTATTCTATCTGTCCCTAATTAGTTGACCACGACTGTAAGTCTTAAATGTTCACAATAAGTGGAAAATGATAGTGGAAAGTTATTTATAATTTTCAAATTAGTTTGAGATGCGATTCTTAACGCTAAAAATTAAATAACTAAGTGGAAAATAATTTGAAAACATCGACTTTATCAAAGTTATCAGTTGATTGTAAAATTAGTCAAGATGACGATGGAAGTCGATGTAAGAATATCGAATGACAAATGCGAGCATGACGTCATGTTTCGGATACTAACATCGCTCTGGCCCGAAGTGGCCTCGGATATCGGCGCCTCCTCCTCGCTGGCGGTGTAGGGCTCGTACTCCACGTCCTCATCGCTGTCCAACTCAGAGTCACTCGAGTCTTGCACAATATCTACAAACAGCACACGCACTTAGTTACACTGTCAGAAAACATCCCTGCACCTTTATTAGCCTTTTACATTTTTTTTTCAGCATTTCCCAATCTTTTTTCTTTCTTCTTCTTTTTTATCTTCACATGTTTTGTTATGTTTTGTTTCGTTTTCTTCTGTTTTTTTTTTTCTATTACACATTTTTTCTTTGAGTCTTTTGACATTACTTTCCAATATTTTTTTGACATTCACTCTTTTGACAAGATTTTTTGTAATATTGTTCTCTGCATTTTTTTTAAATGATACTATACAAACGTCACACAAAAAACATGCAAAAATTCACATTTAACATCATCAAAAACTCGTGCATAAATTATATTTCTATGATATAATCAATCTGTAACATGCCAATTAAACAATTATTCAAAATTCAAATCATGTAAATTTTATAATTAGATTATGCAAAATACATATTATTTAAAAAGTTCAAGGGCAAGAAGTGTATTAGTTATTATTATGTACAATTAGCAGTTGAATACGAGTACATGGTCAGATTTAAAATAATATGTAGTAAGTACATTATGTATTAGATGTTTTAACTATTATTTATTAAGAACTAATTTTGATAAGCATTCAAATAATCTTGTAGTTTACCTTGAACTCTTCACAATAAATAAATAAAAAACCAACTAATATTTGCAATATAGAATACAAATGGGACTACAACCTGTCTTAATACATACCTACTTACTATTTGTTTTAATGCTAAACGAGATCGTAAATTCGAAATAAATAAGTAATTTCTATCATAATACTAAAATATTCTAATTTTCTACTACTACTTACCACTACTTGACTAATGATGCAATCATGCAAAAAAAGTTAGTTTTAGTATTAAATCATTTAAACTAAATTTTTTATTAACTTTTTTTGCATGAATGTATCAATAAAAAATACGAAATAAACACAAACTATTGAAACTACATAAATTGAACTACGAGTAATACAAAATGAAAATATTTTTCAATAGAATTACTCAACTCATTCAAAATAAATTAAAAAGTACTTTATAAAAAGGATCTGTAGGGTATTCTACTGAAAAATATTTAGTAAAAGCATGATTATGAATAAGTAATAAGGCCAGTATATTAAATTAGTTTGTCTTGATGATATTGTCCGTGATCGCCGGTGTCCTCAGGCACCCTGATCGCGCCGGGACCGCCAGGGTGCGACTGACATAAATCTGACAATTTACCACCAAATCTATTAGTGCTCTCATACAAACAATTCGCCTGTCGTAATACAAAAACAGTGTTTTGTATTGGTCAAGGAAAAATAATCCATAAAAGTAATAAAAAAAATGCTCAATATGGATTCGAACCATATTTTTTCCTTAGTGAGATTTTTAAATCATTATTATTTTATTGAACTGACTAAAATATTTATCACCATAAAAATAATAATTCTTTAACAACATTTATTTTATCATTATTTAAATAGGTTATTCTTAAAAATATATTGAATAGCAACGAAAACTTTGGACAAGTAGGTAGGTAGGTACCTTAATGCCAACGTTTTACCTTAGGCTTACCATTTTAGAGTATGCAAATTAAAATGGTCAACAGAGCGCGACTGACTCGTCATGTGCTTATAATGACGTCATCAGCTTTATTGACAAGTCTACGCATGATACAACTCGAAAGGGAACGGTGACGTCACAGGCAAAAAGCATGAATGGCGGTTATTAGGGGAAATACCCCAGAGCATTTTGCTCTACAACTGGTTTAATCTTGTTTCTCTGAACAATTTCTAGAAACGTAGGTTCTTTTTTTTAATAAAAATAATTACCGGTTTGCTTGAATATTGATACGATTTTCAATGCTGGGAAAAAATCTTACAAGATAAAAATATTATTATGACAAATGTAGTTATTTTTAACCATTTGAGTGATTTTACATAATATTAATTAGGCAATCAAACTGGTTCTGATTGCGCTCAATTAGTGTAACGATCATGTTTTATCATGCCGGTGTTTCGGCAGAAATGTGTTTTCTCACGCAACAGGCGGAGCGTGGAAAACGCCGCGGTTTGATGTCCGTCCGCGGCGGTAGACGATAGCAATGAGCAAAAGACACGTTTTAACAAGTCTTGCATCGTAATGCGCCTGACTCACGAGGAACAATGCTATGCGCGTGATAGCACATAACACTCAGATCGCCACACATTCAGAATTTCGTGGAAAGTTTTCAACCAACTTAATCAACATTCACAAGTTTGATAACACTTATCAGCAATTGCCAAAAAATCACCTTATCAATTTATCGTTTTTTTAAAGATAAAATTATATAAATAGGTATACTAAAATAATAATAATAATTGAGGTAGGTAATTAAACAACAAAAAAAATAAGAGGATATTTAAAATTCATGTACAGATGGAAGAAAATATTATCAGTAGAAATAAATAAAATATAATAATACGAATAAAATAAAATACATTTTTTAAAAGGAAAAATATTAGTTGGAAGTTTTTTAAAACATGACATTAGGGAGAAGGGTCTTAGATGTCAGTTTAGGTTCCAAGAAGTCCATAGATAGACATTGCCCCTTCTGCCCTTAACTTCATAAATTATCCATATAAAAGATAACTTTATTAGTGTCAGGCACTGGCTGATAAATTCCAACTTCCAAGGCTTTTAAAACACACTGCTTCTCCATTCACATCTCTTATATCTGTATTTTTCAAATAACTGATAAAGATCAAGCCCAGCGCATGAGCTGGATTCCCATTAAAAAAATAGTACAAATAGTGTGACAATGAATTTTTTTTTATTTAATTATTTCTAAAGCATTAATTTCTAATGACTTCTTGCAACAATACACAAGACTCCATTATCTTATATCAGAATCAATTAAAATTAACATTATAATCAGCAGTGTCACTGAATGACATGAATGTCAATGAGTTCTTTCTTATCATTCTAAAAATAATATTTTTGAATCGGTTAGGTAACCTTGTACAAATGAAACGTAAAATATCATGTAATACTTTTAAGTGTTACAACAAACAACTAGGAAACAAACATACACCATGCAATACAAAAAAGGAAATTATAATACATTTATAGTATACATAATCTATCATGCTACACAAATAGGAAGAGGATCAAGCATAAAAAGAGGACACATTAATAAACAAGATATTTAAAACATGGACAACAATTAAAATCGGCTGAGTAAAACTTACCAGTTTCCTGTCCTTGAATACTGAAAACGGTTTCTGTTGAACAGCGTCGGCTCCATGAAGGTTCTGAAAACATTCAATTAGTTGATAAGTTTTAGTATTGACAAGAATTTCATTCAGATTGAGATCTATTCGGTCAGCTTGTAAGAGCCATACATTAGCTGTTTGGTTATGGTTAGTAAATTATTGATGCCCTAAGACTAAAATGCATTAGAAGGCTACAATAAAATGTTAGCAATTTCATCTACTAAAAAAATCATCCTATGACTTCTGTTTGCAACTGTACACAATGGCGCGGAGGAAAACTAGATAAAAAAAGACGCTTGGAACATACTTGAGTCCGTGGTAACCTTGAATTTCGCGCGATTCAACGTACGCGCAAGGCTTACAAATCCACTTACTATACATAATACGACATAGAATATACTATCTACTTAATAACATACAACACATTCATATAAATGGCATAGATACATTCCAACACCTAAAATACAGCTTATATGAAGTACTAAAGTAACGTACCTGAAGGAAACGATGCTGTTGTGTTCATAATAGAAATATCTCATCAATAATATGAGGACGGTGCTCAATTTAGTACAGTAATTTGGCTTTCAATTTTGCTTTGGACCGTTTTGGACCTGATTTCCTCCTCCTTGTTTGACTACTTCGATGTCACCCACAGAGAAATTTAATTTTATTGGTTATGTTTTACACGAACCAATCACAATGATTGTACACATCAAATACACCAATAGTACTATTTTCTGTTGTAAGTTTCGTCCAATCAAAAATTAGTAATGTAAGCGTCAGTCGCCAGCGTGGAGCAACGTCAAGGCGATTAATAAGTTTGACGTTTAAAATGTTGCCATTAAAAACTACTCTGAATTCTACTAAAGTTGTCTACTGTGTCACCCCGTAGCTATAGTAGTGATACCGAAATTATTATTATTAATAATTATTATTTTATAAATAATTGAAATACCTTGTTTCTCATTTTAAGTGAAATGTACAATTTCTTTTGAGAAATAAATTCTTAAACCTGAAAAAAAAACGCGTGAAAAATTAAAAGAAGACAAAAAAATTGAGTATTGAACACTATGTAAGATTCTTTTTTTTATTCTTTATTTTCACTGTGGAACAGCCATCTAGCCAACCGCCAGTTCCAATGATTGAGACGAACATAAAAATATTGTTGTAGCAATGTATGTCATGAATTTTCGTTATTAGAGACAAAATCCAACAATTAAACATAAAACATTCATTAAACCAAGGGTAAATCGAAAAGAAAAAAAACTTTCCTTTCCCAAAGTCCAAACCTTGATTGTTCACTGGTGTTTTTGAGGTGTGGTAGAGATTTGAAAAACATGGCACAAGTATTATTTTTTTTTCAGATTAAATTCCATCATTTCCAATGCAAAATGGTACAGTCGCAGAATGAAAAGGTTCGTCACCTTAGTGTCGGTTTTCGTTTGCATTAGGTACTGTAAAAGTCGAACCTGCCAACATAACAGTGCAAAAAACAGTGCTGCTAACATTTAAATAAATATGACGTTTGCAAACGAATAAGGTTTTGCTTGTTTATTTTTCTATTCCATCAGTGCAATGCTTGTGATGACATCACCAATTGACAATAGTTTTTTTTATTTAATAGAAATAATAATGGCAGGTTGAACCAACAAGAAGGTTTAAGTATATCAATCATATAATCTTCTTGACAAGATAAATGGTCAAACAACTTTGATCTGAATAATTTTGAACTTTACTGACGAACAGTTAAAGATTATTTTCTCTAACTCGAGATTATTCTGTAACATAGTTTCAAAAGGTAATATGTGTTCGCGATTCGTTGAAGGAATCAATTTGAAAACTGACGAACCTTTTCATTCCGTGACTGTACATTTTGGACTATTGGTAATTTATGTAATAACAAATTACGAATAATCAATAATTAAATAAAATTGCAATTGATGAATGAAATGTATTATGTAGTAAATACTTTTATGTACTACATAATACATTTCATTAAACATGCATGATAAAGCTTTATGACTATTTCTTTTATCAATCTTTGGGTCTAGCTAGCTAGACAAAGTGCACTTTTTGTTCGAATTGAAAATCGAATCAGTTAAAACTTCCTAAAAAGGCCTTTCGACCACTTTTCGACTGGTTTGCGATTTTAATGTGCACCTTTGTCTAGCTAGACCACTAGACCCACTGTATTTAAAACTTCTAAAAAAACTACTAAACAAAACTTCTGGCAGCCCCAGTCCTATCCATTGACGAATGACGACAGTTTCCTTTTCCTTGTGGCATGGTGTCGGCATAGGTGAGTTTGTCAATTTTGTGTAATTTATTTCGTTTTACTGCGCAATATTGTGTAAATCCGAGATTTTAAATGTCTTTAGTGTGCATTTGTATCGTGTAAGGTAAATTTCAAAGATTTTAAATCGTCAAATTGACTTTTGAAAGACTTGAATATTAGTCACACGTGGATTGATACGAAATTATTTCCTACGGGTTTCTCAATGTTTTTTAATGTTGTGATAAATTGAACGTGGTGCATGGAAGTCGTCAACATAAATATTTTAATCGGCGAGGTGAGCACATGCACCAGCTATCGATCGGTGTTTGTCGAAGAGGTTATGTTAGCGCGAGTGTATCAGCGACACAATTGATAAGGTGGTAATTTTGTTGTAGTTGCCGAATAAGCAACCACAATGCCGCAGAACGAATACATTGAGCGCCATCAAAAGCTTTACGGTAGGAGACTCGACTATGAGGAGAGAAAGAGGAAGCGCGAGGCGCGTGAGCCTCACAAGAGGGCCGAAAAGGCGCGCAAGCTGCGAGGCATCAAGGCCAAGATCTACAACAAGGAGCGCCGCAATGAAAAGATTCAGATGAAGAAGAAGATCAAAGCGCACGAGGAGAAGAATGTCAAACAAAACACAGAGAAAGTGGCCGAAGGAGCGCTGCCCGTGTACCTCCTCGACCGAGATGTGCAGTCTCGCGCCAAAGTACTGTCTAATATGATCAAACAGAAAAGGAAAGAGAAAGCTGGCAAATGGGATGTGCCTATACCTAAAGTGAGAGCACAAGCTGATGCCGAGGTGTTCAAAGTCTTGAAGTCTGGTAAATCAAAGAGAAAAGCCTGGAAGCGTATGGTGACAAAGGTCACTTATGTTGGAGAGAACTTCACAAGAAAGCCACCAAAGTTTGAGAGGTTTATCAGGCCGATGGCCCTGCGTTTCAAGAAAGCTCATGTCACTCATCCAGAGTTGAAGGCCACATTTTGCTTGCCCATCATTGGGGTGAAGAAGAACCCAAGCTCTCAAATGTACACAAGCCTTGGAGTTATTACGAAGGGTACAGTTATTGAAGTTAATATCTCTGAACTGGGTTTGGTGACGCAGGCCGGCAAAGTTGTTTGGGGAAAGTATGCCCAAGTGACAAACAACCCAGAGAATGATGGATGCATCAATGCTGTACTTTTAGTTTAACTTATTGCTTATTGTATTAATTTTAATTGTAATAACATTTCCATGTTTTTGAAGAATAAACCTACCATGAAGCTTCTATTATGGTTTTTATTTATACCCTACCCTGTTAATTTAAGTTTACAACAATAATTCTATTATTTCCTTCAGGTATATTAATTAATATTACTAAAGAAGAAGTGTTGTTATCTACTCTTCAATATTAAAATTTCAAGACTTACCAAATGAAAGCAATTCCATTTTAATAATAATTGTTATGTCACAAGATACAAACACACCACTGTTAAAAAATTGTAAACTTTGTTTTTATGCCACACTGTGCACTGGTCTGTGTAGGGCGCCAGTGCATTTGGTACTGACATCAGTTACAGAATGTATCTATTTTAATACCAATAACCCTGTCATGACTGGACATGTATGAATATTTACGAAATTCGCTGTTCATCCCCATATGTATCTATTTTAATACCAATAACCCTGTCATGACTGGACATGTATGAATATTTACGAAATTCGCTGTTCATCCCCATACAGGGTGTAACTTGCTTTCGTCATAAGCTGTGGTGCTTTAATAGTCAAGTACAAAATAGGTATTTCATAATGTTTTGTTGTTAATAAATTGCTAAATATCTTGGCGCTGATAAGGCTAATATTATACTAAGAACCACTTGCAATTAATTAATAATAGCTCTGTCCTTTCAGCTACATATCTACATTTTATGTTTCAATATGAATATCAACAACAAAATGTAAAAAAATAAATGACATGAGGTTTTGTGTATCATTACTCATATACCTACTGCTTCCATCAGAATTGACTCATCCAAATTGACCTTGGCCTTTGTTTTTGTTAGGTAATCCAAGATGCAGATCTTCGTCAAAACCCTCACGGGCAAGACCATCACTCTCGAGGTCGAGCCCTCAGATACCATCGAGAATGTGAAAGCCAAAATCCAAGATAAGGAGGGAATCCCTCCTGATCAGCAGAGGTAAGAGAGTAATCGCCGCCATTGTTTATGTTTCGGCCAAATGACGTCCACTGCTGGACAAAGGCTTTCTCCAGGACTTCCACGACGACCCTTACGGTAAGGGCCTTACCTCGTCTGTCCACTTAGTGCGGGGCTAGCCCACAATACGTCTTCCTTACGAAAAACATTACCTGGCTGGATAATTTTCTTTTGCTTTACTTGTTCGGTCACAAAAGGCAAATTACGACATTCTATCATTTGCAAAAATAAGAGTACCGTTTGTTTCCCCATCTCAGATTGATCTTCGCCGGAAAGCAGCTGGAAGATGGCCGCACTCTGTCGGACTACAACATCCAGAAGGAGTCAACGCTACACTTGGTGCTCCGCCTGCGTGGTGGCGCCAAGAAGCGCAAGAAGAAGAATTACTCCACCCCCAAGAAGATCAAGCACAAGAAGAAGAAGGTCAAGCTTGCCGTGCTGAGGTTCTACAAGGTAAGATTCAAAAACTCTTCTTTCAGAGGCCATCTCTGACCGACCTCCAGGTTGGTTCGGTATTCGTCGAAAAATTATCTTATTTATAGTAAAACTTGGAAATTCGGATTACAGTAGAACGCCGATTATCCGAATTAATTGGGACCGGGGTCGATTCGGATAATCGAAAATTCGGATAATCGGACATAGACTGGTAATAGAGAAAAACGAACTGTCACACAAAGAATAAACTTTAATAAGTTTAAAAAACAGACATATTTCTACTGAGCGTTATTGTAGAACTGCTATAATAACGCTCAGTTGAAATATATCTCAGTTCCAAAAAAACAAATCAAAAATTACTTGGTTTTATTTTTTTATATTACGCTTAGGACCGATTCGGATAATTGGCGATTCGGTTAATCGGCGTTCTACTGTACCTATCCCGCCAAAGCTAACATAACCATTATAGTATTGTTCGTGCCTTCATATTATCTTCTTACACCAGTATGTTAAATTGTGTACTTGTTAGCTTACACTCATTTTTATCTTGATGAATAGGCGCATGCATTTTGAAAACGACATGCAAATTCTCGCTATCCTTATTTGCTTTACCAGTCCATACTTGACTCGCTAAAAATAAGAAGCGGTTGCAATATTTGCATACGCCAAGTGGGTGCGTTTCCCCGAAGCAAGAATGCGGGAAGTGTGACTAACGTGAAACAAGTCGCGACACGCCGCGTGCGACCGCCGCGTTACTAATGCGCGCGAGCGTTAGTAATTAGTATAGTTTGTGGGGGATCCAAAAATAGACAAATAGAAAAGGAAAGGACAAACATATTTCCTGTTCATTACAGCTGGCTTTTTTTTGTAGTCTATTGACAATAATTACTGTTATAGCAATAAAATTGTTTTGTTTACCTTTGTGTCTTTTAAAAATATGGTAAACATACATTTGAAAGTTATTTCTTGATGATTGACTTTCTAAGGTAACCAGTTATAACAAAAAACTGATAACAGTCTCCTACAACCGGCACCTTATAGCACTTTTCATGCGTACCCTTTTTACATCGTGTACATTGGTGCACACTTGCAGCTTTGCCTAGTCTCTTGTGTTTATTGGCGCAGTTACACTATGCGAGAAACTAGTGTAAACACGCACTCAGTTAGCTACGCCTTGCGTCGCTTATACTACGGTGTGCGTGCTCGCGCTTCGACTCAGTCAATTTCCCTCATAATGTGATTGGGCCATATCAAAACAGTCCCATACTCTGCCCTGACAGTGGTGCATTAGTCTTCTTCGTCTAACTAATGTTTGTCATATCTTCTCAGGTTGACGAGAACGGCAAGATCCACCGGCTTCGCCGCGAGTGCACGGGCGAGCAGTGCGGCGCCGGCGTGTTCATGGCCGTCATGGAGGACCGCCATTACTGCGGCAAGTGCCACAGCACCATGGTCTTCAAGGACGACGAAAACAAATAGACTAAGACTACCCTCACCTTAGTGTAAGCGCTCAGACTGCTGTGTATGATGGATTTTGCGAATAAATCTTGACACAGTGTCGGAGTATTTTTGCCGTTTTTTATTTTGAGTTCCTTGGATGTTGCGGGTGAGTATGGGTGTTTACTCGTTGCTTGGAGCCTTACCGTGATCTTCTGTCCAGTGGATTTCTCTGAAAATTGAATTAACCAATACAAATCGTCAAAATGTCCAGTTTGTGCTGTTTATATTGGTCAAGTTTTCTGTTTCAGCTGAACTTATGATCTCTGCAAGGCTTCAGTGATTTCCACTCTGAAACGATGCAAGCTTCCATTTTTTTACCCGACTGCGCCAGGAGGAGGGTTATGTTTTTTTAAATCGACATGATATAAGTCATTAACTTAATATTTTTGCAAAAAGTATGATAACGGTCTAATGGGCGTGTCAGAATATGGACGTTGTAAGAACCGATAACGAATTCTTGACTTAGCATCGTTTCAGTATTTAGTTACATTGTCTTATTACAAAAAAAAAAATACACGTTGAACACTTGTTTAAAATGTAATTTCAATACTAAATGTCATTTTAACAAATGTTCAGCATGTGTTTATTTTTTTTTGTAATAAGTCAAAACTGGTATACTATTTTACATTCTATAAATCATACAACACACACCTTTCCCATTCCTATATCCTTGTTTTCTTTTTCATTGTTGACCTTTTAATTCTACACACAATAATCATATCAGCTACATTGAATCTGGCTGAATCTTCTCGATTTCAACCGAAGAAGGCCTGCAAATTGATTGATGGTAAGTAAAAATTCAATAAATAATGCATTTTTTACATATTTTATTGTTTTATTTATTTATTGCCTTTAAATTCCGTCATCGTCTGTAGTTGTTTAGTTTGATTGACGTTTCATTTGTGTAGGTCAATAATTTACATTTATGGACAGTTCATTAAACACACACACACACACATGGGTTATGCACACAATAAAAATACTGACATAATTCATTAAAATATTTAATCAATACTGCGAAATAGAATTGTCTAACTTAACATAAAGACACTGCCTAACTGAAATAGTTTGTGCACCGGTGGGCGCCTCAAATGCACTTCTAACACTAGTAGGAATCTCCCGACTGCTCTCAGATCATACTATTTTGGAATGGATCGATTTTACATAACTGCATTAATAAAGAAACGTTACAATACACGCTACGCTCGCTCGCGACTCCGCGCCGGCGGCTATGAAAGACAATTGACATTAAATACATAAAACAAAACATTAACCTAGAGCACCACGAAATTAACTAATTTATACAATTAAAGAGATCGTAACACCTAATACAACTGAAAAGTACACTACTCATTCGGAATACGTATATTACCTAATTTATTATAAACATTTAAGACGCCTGCGTTAACGGTTTATAATTTATCTCATCTATTACATATAATATTATCTATTAATCTATTTATTTCGTCCTTACACCTAAAGGTTTCGGCCTCTCCCGGCGGTTGGCGTTGTACTGGGAATGCGCCGACTAAAGTAATTAATCCGTTTTATTACAATTTATTATTGATATAACTTGAACTTGTCATTGATTACGAACTGGGTAAGATCTCATAAAATTATCTTCAAGTATACAAATATTTATTTGTGTATTGGCATTAGCGCGATTTTGGGTCTGATTCCGAGGATTTTTACAAGCCTTTATTTAATAAATACTTATAATTTTAACCCCCTGAAGGAAAGAGAGCCAAGAGGATGATGATTTGAAGAATAGAGACCTATTTCAACACGAAATCTGTCAATATGGCAAGCTTATGAAAAATTGAGCCTTAGCAGGTATACATTGAATTAAATGCTATGTTTATAATAGTATTTCCATAAAGCGTTAGTTTATTTTGTTCAGTAGTGAAAAGCCTCGGAATCGGTCCCATCGTTTACATTATCAATGGCCCGCATTGTCTACAACAGCTAGATTTGGAACATGATTCAGGGGAATTACACCTACATTATTATAATTGTCTACAGTAAATAAGATCCACTCTGATACGTACTTATTATAAACTCGCTTATCTTGTAACATGATTTACGTTTGGCGGTCGACACACATCACTTATCTTATTAGCTTAAATTATTTATTTCTGTCGCTTTCCAAAATTAAGAATTAAGCTAGAACCGGAGTCTACATATTTTTGGTAGAGCTGTCAGTTAGATAATTTTGCAGTTCCAAAAACCTAATAGCAGGCAATGATTTAGCAATACTAGAAATAAAATAAATACAAGATTTATACAATGGTAAACGTTAAAAAAATCATCCATGAATACATAGTAAGTACAGATTAGCAAATAAAATTATAGTTTATTGTGATTATTTTGGAATTATAGTCTTATTTTAAATAAGATCCTTGCAAGTTAATTTCTGTCAAGGTACCGTACGGTGTACACTGGAAGTATTTTCCCAAGCCACAATAATAAAATTGGGATAAACACCAAGCGCCATTACGTCATAAAAGAAATTCAACTAGAGGAATATTTAAAATTAATGTATCTAATTGTATCACAGTGGGACTCCGCGAGGTTTTCAGGGCGGGAGAATTTGCAAAATTGAAATTTTATGTCATTGAAATATAAATATAAATCATTTGATTTTTAGAAATAGAAATGTATGTATTTAAATCGATTTAATTCGTATCATGTCAAATGACGAAGTCACTATATCTTTCATTTCATAGCCTGTTAATAGACGGTATCTTTGGTAAGTATTGCTACAAAAGAAATAGCAACCCCCTTGGTTTTGGTCATGCAATATGAAAACCTCTGACAGATGTACATTTATAAATATCATTTAATTAATTTATTTAGAGACGCACTCGGATGTCGTCAGTTCTAAAGAACGCTTCAATATTTACATATTCATAGACAGCTGCACTTTGCGCGTTTTAATTTACGGAGTGGGGGTGAATGTATTGATAATATTTAATTTAACAAATAACGACTGAGAATATTTCAAGGACTGCATATGTTTTTTATGAATAAATAAAATTCTGAAATCTCTATTTAGGCTAGCCCCCGTGGATTTAGGAATTGAAATTAGGAACTTTGCAATGGCAGGATTTTTTGTTTTGTACTTCCACCAAAAAGAAAGAAACTTAATACTTTAGACAGAACGTAAGTAAAACGCCATAGGTAAAAGAACTGATAGGTAGAAAGAAAAGGATAGGGCTAACAAATGAGGCTATTTTCCGTTCGAATCATGATTTCAGTTGCTTAGAAGCAGCATTCTTTAATTCAGATATCTATCTAACTAAACGATGTTTTATTTACTAAATACTGTTTATTGTATCTACTGGCTTTATTCTCTACGAAACGCGTCATTTTATAGCCTTTGTCATTGATCTTTTGGTGCAAAAACAAAATGATTCGAAGCGATAGAAGCTAGACATCCGAGTGCGCAACGCTGCGTTCACTAAAGGCTCCTTCACACGAGCGAATTCGTATACACGATCAGAATTAAGTAGCACGACTGATATTAATCAAAACTACTAAATGATGCTGAAAACTTTACAATGGATAAAGTCGTGTCAATATGTTGGTTTCGCTCATGCAAAGTGTAGTCATTTCTATAGAATTTACTCAAAGTAAACAATCTTATTTGACTTCTTTTTTAGGAAAAGAATCAAGTTGCAAATATTAAGCTTGACGTTTTGTTGTATTCAACAATTATACTACAATCTTGTCTAAATTGACTTGTCTATATTCAGGTCTGCGAGCACGTAGAATTTTGTCCAATGACCCCAAGCTACCCATCCTTATCGCTCGCGCGTAATTATGTTGCTGTCGCGCTCGTACAGTCACTGCGGGCGTCGCACAGTCGCAACAGCAATATAATTACGCGCGAGCGATAAGGATGGGTAGCTTGGGGTCATTGGACAAAATTCTACGTGCTCACAGACCGGGCTTTACAAAATAAAATGGTCTACTTTCGACCACCAAAAGAAGACAGAATAGAGGTTTACCTTGAGTAAATTCATACCATTATAAGGGTACTTATAGGTCGTCGCGTGGCGCGGGCGGGTCGGGCGGCGCCTCCAGCGACGGTTTGATGGTCTCCAGCAGCTTGATCAGCGCCTGCTCCGTCTGAAACGTGCGGCCGTGAACTGATAACAGGACTACAACACAGACTTGCAAACTTATTGTGGTACTCATTTCAACCATAGTGGCCATAAACTGTACAGTCAACGTCAAATAGTTCGTTACATTAAAGTGGCCAGAAAGTTAACAACACAAACTTATTCAAAGTAACAAAAACGTGTTGCGAGCTTTTCGGCTACCTTAGGTGTCAGTATTTGACGCTGACTGTATACAGGGTGGAAACGATAAGTGATCTCACTCGATTATTTCTAAACTATACAAGATAACGAAAAACTGGTTATTGATCCTGAAAGTACTTCACAAGCTCTTTCAAACGGTATCAGTAATAGGTTACAAAATTAACTGGATCTATCCAAAAATTCAATGTTTTCAGGTTCCATACTAAATGTATGCCAGCCACACAATATTAGAAGTGTTAATTTTTTTTATTCAATAATAAACACTTAAATTGAACTCCAAATTGCATTCTTATTTAAAATTATTCATAAAAAAACATTGCTTTAGGCTTTACTTGCTATAATACTATCAAGACATGAGTGCCATGACTGTGGCAGTACTAAATGTATGGAAGCTGGAAACATTGAATTTTCGGATAGATCCAGTTTATTTTGATACCTATTATTGCTACCGTTGGATAGAGCTCGTGAAGCACTTTCAGGATCAGTAACCGGTTTTTGGATATCTTGTATAGTTTTTAATATTATGTGGTTTTACTAAATGTATGGAAGCCGGAAACATTGAATTTTCGGATAGATCCAGTTTATTTGGTAACCTATTATTGATACCGTTAGATAGAGCTCGTAAAGCACTTTCAGGATCAGTAACCGGTTTTTGGATATCTTGTATAGTTTAGAAATAATCGAGTGAGATCACTTATCGTTTCCACCCTGTATACTTAAATAACGTCCAAATGTTGATAAAAGGGCAAGTAGATGCTCTTTTCTTCAACTTAAATTTACTCTGCGAAGTGATCAGTATGTGTTAGTAGGGGAGACCTGTATTAACTATCAGCGAACTCATAACAGTACACGTTTAGTTTTAGCTCAAGTCTCTTGGTGCGGGTACATTTTGTGGGAAATTGGCCAAGCCGCATCAAACACATACTTGATAAGAACTCGGCAAGTTTCTTCATCCCCACTGTAACGTTGCCGTTTGCTGTTTTTTCACAAATTAATATTTCTTCTCAATATTCTGATTTTGGATACCACTAGCGACATCTATTGGCGTGATTTAGAATTAATTTGCAATAGATGGCGCTTTTTGATCAGTTAATTGAAATATACTTTGATGAAACATTTCCTAGTGTTTTTATATTGATTATTCTATTTTTCAAATAGAATGTTTTCAGTGTTCTGGAAATTGTTTTCATCATGGTTTTATTAGTACAGTATTTACTTTTTCAAACGGCGAAACGAAACGTATCGCGATGTCTATGACAGAGCGGCTGTCAGTGGAGCTGTCAAATGACTTAGGAATTTGTCGATCGTGCGCAACCGCAATTTGATTATTTTCGGGAATGTAATTCCTTTTATTTCAAATCGGGTGGTGCAAAATGCATCCACGATAATTTCTTGATGAATAAATAAAAATAACACACATGAGGTAAGTTCCCGTCGGAGAATTTATTTATTTTTCGTGATTGATATTTTTCGTATTCCAGTACGTGGTTATTTCATGTGATCGTTTCTTTCAGAGATTCCCTAAATCCTATTCGGATGAGGGTATTGGGTTGCTGAAGACTGCGAGTGAAGCTTAAATTAGCGAACAGTCTTCGTAAGTATTTCTTTCCCATTGCGGTTTTTTTCATAACCTAATGCCACGTTCCACATGTGATGCTGACACTGGTATTTTTCGTTTCAGATGCGGGATTTCATATTTTACGTTTTGATATTTCATATTTTACGATTTTACATTTCATATTTTAGATATTTCAATATTTCATATTGATTTCTATAATTATTACTCCTTTCTGAACTGCTGATCTCTTCGCATTTCCTCCTTGTCATCAAACCTCTGTCTCTGCAAGAGTGTGAACGCTTTCCTGCCGAGGAGATGCAAGAGTTTCATCTGGCACTGTGCGCTTGAGGCCGTGGAGGACGCTGCTTGTAGCCTAAAAGTGTGCGAGACCCGTTGGACCCCGGAAGAAGAGAGGAACGTTCAGGGTAACGGCTTGTAACCGCATGGCTTCCAAGGTACCCACTTTTCCATCCTTCAAGTAGGAGTCTTTCCGACCTGACATCGCGCAGTTATCTTAACTAGTAGAGTCTTTTAATATTTAGGCTGAGTTTTAAGAAATTTGTAGTGGCAGTAATATTCACCAAACCGAACCTAATTAGCGACCCTGAATCCCTTGAGATTGGCACTATCTATTACAGTAGTTATAATATCGTAATTGTTACCTGTACATGAGCTAACGAGATAAAAATAAATTGTGTCAATTGAGAGGGAGCTGTTTTATTTACATTTTTTAATTTCACACAAGGAACGGTAACTTATATAAATTTCTGCAAGCCGGACAACCTCTTTTTCACGTGCAGACAACTCACCATCCTCTCCGTCTGCACCGGTGGCGGTTCAATTCCAGTCACCAAGCCGCCAGGAAAAAATCCTTTTCTTGCACCACCCTTGGACGAATAAACCACTGGACGCGTAACGAGTGACGTTTTCGTCTTTACCCCGCTAGCACTTACCAAGGCTAAATTAGCCATGGTAAATGTTGTCAGGTTGTCACTTTGTCAGTATGACGCGAGCTCTCGAAGAGTAAAAATATCACGAAAAATGGGTAAATGCGCTGTACTTTATTGCAAAAATTTTTCCAGTCACACAAGAAATGTTTCTTATCACGCGTAAGTACATTTTAAATCTATTATAGTAGCTATTTTTTCGTAAAATAAATAAAATTTGATATGTAAACAAAATATGATTACGTCATTTTAAAAAGTACTCATTGTACATGTAAATGCTTAAAACATGTAGCATATTTAATTTGGTTGGATTATAGGTTTCATTCATTCATTCACATCTCATTTTGTATGACGTAAAGGGCTTGAAAAATGTCGATAAGTTTATCGATATACCAAACAAACTGAAATTATTCAAATTAATTTTAGATTTCCAGTGGATCCAAATAGAAGGAGAAAGTGGATAGAGGCAGTCAGAAGACAAAATACGTGGATTTCAACTAAAAACCACTGCATTTGTAGCATTCATTTTGCGGAAGAATGCTACAATGCCAATTCTACGAAACAGAGAAAACTGCACAAAGATTCTATACCTACATTGAATTTGCCTAAAGGACATTGGGAACTTTAATATGAGAAAATGCCCCACGGCGGACAAAGATGAAACGTATTTTATTTCAAAGCTTTATACTTGTAGGTATATTCACTTAAAGCGCTATGTTGTGATATATGGGAATTCTGAGATATGACGAGTCTAAGTTGAAAATATATTTGTCTAAAATGATTTGATATTTTTAATGTTATGTTGTTTGGCATTGCAGAGTAACCAATAAAAGTAAATAAAATAATATAAATAAATAAAAAAATATAAATAAAATAATATAAATAAATAAAATATTAAAAATACTTTAATTAATATTAGACAACATCTCATATATTACTCCAACCCAAAATAAGTAGCTAAGGCATTGTGTTATGGAAATCGGGAACGACGAACCACAACACACCCAAACCAGAGACAATGTGAAAAGATTGTTTTCTATATTGTCCCGGCCGGGCATCGAACCCGGGACCTCAGGATTGGCCCGGCACACCTTGAACCGGTGTGTGCGCCTCTCCGCCACCGAAGTCGTCAAAAATGTTACCTAAATGTAAAATAAAATAAAATATTAAAACTTCATTTTCTCAATAATCCCATAAAAGAGAAAAAAAAATACACGGAAATTCATTGGATATTAGTATGTATCATCTGTGATAGGTTTCGTTTGTGTCCGCTACTTTTCGAAAAGTGGTGCAAAAAGTTCCCAATGTCATTTGTAAGTACAATCATTATCAAATTTTAATAGATATTTTATCTTAAAAGTCAACTAATTCACCAAATTATCAGTAGACACAAAACATTTATGGTTCAAATTGTGTAACTGGTATGGCTCAAAAGATGAGGAGACATATGTATAAAGTGCCCTAAAGGGCTACCTTTTTTAGGGTTCCGTAGTCCTGACAAGGAACCCTTATAGTTTTGCTATGTCGGTCTGTCCGAGGTTTTGCTTGGAAACTATTGGCACTAGAGAGCTGTAATTTTGTGGAGGTATGTTTATTAATCACGCCGATAAAACAGTAAGATAAAATTTTGAAAAAAAAAAAATATTACGGTAGCTAGTTGCTTTACATGTAAAGTGGGGGTGATTTTTTTTATCTTCTACCTCATCGTGTGGGATATCGTTGGACAAGTCTTTAAAATTGCTTAGGGGTTTCTAAGGCTATTTTTCCATTTAGAGATCTGTTTGCAGTGGCGGGGCAAGACCTAAATTTGATGTGGGCAAGACAGATTTCGCGAGGCCTTGTTCTGTGGCGAACTGAATTATAAAAAAAGTAATAATAAAAAAACAATGAACACTGACAAGTTTTTATTCATAAAAATACAAATTAGATTAATATTTAAAAAAAATTTTTTTGAGGCGCGACACAGTGGATCGAAATGGCAATAAAGTGAACATAGGAATTTTTTCCGGAATTTTAAAAATTGCCAATCGATAGGCCTTTACTCACTTATCACGACATGTCATATCACATTTTTCTCTAAACCTGATACTTTAGCTTAAAAAAAAATAATTTGTGTTTTTTTTTTGTATGGAACGAGACATAAAGTACTAATTTTCTCCAAAGACCTGCTAGATCGTGACTTGAAACAACCTAGGTCGGTATAACTGCATTATTTACTAATATTCTAAGTTATTTCCAGCTGCTCCAAACCGCAACTTGGCCTGTTAAACGATTCCGAAAAAAATTTAAAATTGACTCTTCTTGTAATTCTATTTTAGTACTTTTTAGTCTATTACGGTACTAGAAAGTGATTTTATCGTTAGGTGACATTGTTATCTATTCTCAGAATCTGTTAAACCCTTTCTTTCCTATCAGCACATGACTTCAAAACAACAATGAAGTTACACATACCTCGTAATTAACGTGTTTTGCGAATAAGCAGATAATGGTCAGGGGTGTGGGTAAAAATCAGATAAGGATTGTTTATTGGTCTTAAATTTAGTTAGGGCTGTGTAACGTCACCAATAAAATTCAACTTTAAATGCGGTTTTTAACATGTAATTACAATGGAAGCTATTGTGAATAATATAGATTTGTTCGTAGTCTTAAGAAATACGTTAAAACCTTTGATAGACAGTGAGGAACTTTATAATCACCTTTTGCAGAAAATGGTACATTTAACAGAAGAAAACAGTGTTAAGTTAAAAAAGTTTTGCCGGAAGGCTTGAATCTCCAATTAACTGGGTCTGACGCGCTCACAATGTATGAAAATGTTTGTTTTTGAATGTTTCCCGCTAGGGGCGCTGTACAATCCGTCATACATTTAATGTTATTTTTTGACGCGCTCAATGTAAACTCACACTAGGCCCTCAGATCTTTTTAATGTATGTATAGTAGCTGCGTTTATTTCTTCAGGAGAATAAGACTCACTTATACGCGCCACACAGATTTATTTCTGTTTCGGAGTTAATTTATGTAACGGTTTCCTCGGGATAAAGGAAGTAGTCGAAGCATGTAGTGTAGAAGTGGCACGACGTTTTCTTTAATTGCATTTATATTTGACTAACACCAATATTGTTGGGGCACCATGATTGTGTCAGAAGAAAATCTCTAAAGTTCGCGTCGTGGAAGGTGCGATTTATTTGATGTTGAGTGTAGTTGCCAGACCCAGTTAATTGGAGACTCAAGCCAATGACTGTTTCTTCTTAAAATTTGGGGAAGAGATAGATGACTGTTTGTCCATCTTCCATTAAGATTAGTACAAAAAATCCGGAAAATCTTTTTTAACTTAACACTGCTTTCTTCTGTTAAATGTACCATTTTCTGTAAAAGGTGATTATAAAGTTCCTCATCAAAGGTTTTAACGTATTTCTTAAGACTACGAACAAATCTATATTATTCACAATAGCTTCCATTGTAATTACATGTTAAAAACCGCATTTAAAGTTGAATTTTATTGGTGACGTTACACAGCCCGAACTAAATTTAAGACAAATAATTGTTTATTTGTCTTAAATTTAGTTCGGTTCGGTTCGGTTCGGTTACTTATCTGTTTTTTACCGACACCCCTGAACATTATCCGCTTATTCTCAAAACACGTTAATTACGAGGTATGTGTAACTTCATTGTTGTTTTGAAGTCATGTGCTGATACGAAAGAAAGGGTTTAACAGATTCTGAGAATAGATAACAATGTCACCTAACGATAAAATCACTTTCTAGTACCGTAATAGACTAAAAAGTACTAAAATAGAATTACAAGAAGAGTCAATTTTAAATTTTTTTCGGAATCGTTTAACAGGCCAAGTTGCGGTTTGGAGCAGCTGGAAATAACTTAGAATTTAGTAAATAATGCAGTTATACCGACCTAGGTTGTTTCAAGTCACGATCTAGCAGGTCTTTGGAGAAAATTAGTACTTTATGTCTCGTTCCATACAAAAAAAACACAAATTATTTTTTTTTAAGCTAAAGTATCAGGTTTAGAGAAAAATGTGATATGACATGTCGTGATGAGTGAGCAAAGGCCTATCGATTGGCAATTTTTAAAATTCGATTTTCCGGAAAAAATCCCTATGTCCACTTTATTGCCATTTCGATCCACTGTGCGCGAGGCCCCTTGTACCGCGAGGCCGTAGGCGGTGGCCCACGTCGCCCACGCCTTACGCCGCCTCTGTCTGTTTGCGAATTATTAAAGTTTAAAGTGCCAATTTTTTTTCGAGTCCCCTCTAAAAACTAAACCGTTAGCTTGAAAAATCTGGGAAAATTCATAATAATAATTTATTTTATGAACTTTCAAGGAAAACTATAACGGTTAAGATACATCAGTTAGTTTAGGAGTAATAGTCATTTGACTCATGTATTATACTTAACTAATAAAAATTCCTAGAAGAAAATACAAAAAGTTACTTTAGATGAAGTAATTGCTTGCTTCTAAAATATATTGTGTTAACGACGGACAACAACTACGGAACCCTACATTACACGTGGCCCCCGCCCGACACGCACTTGGTCGGTTTTTTTTAAGTTATCTTTGACATTCATAAGTGCCAAAACACTGGTCAAATTTGAATAAAATATTTATGATTTTGATTGATTTTTTGGCTTTATTTTAGTCACATGAAACAAAAGATGATGAGATCCACACAGATGGAACATACAATTTAAACTTTTCATTGCATCTAAATATTAATAATATCATCACAAAAATACGCCAAATGACTACGATTACATATTATTATTATTTTTTATTTTATTAACAGGTTTTATTTTCAGTATGCAATACCGAGGTGGAACCTTTTAGATCTGTGTCATCCCCTCACGTTTAGTGAAATACCGGGGTGGTTGGAACTTGATTTGGTCCATCCTGTCATCAACTGTTTTTCAATGGGACGACTTCTGAACATCAGAGAGATCTTGACTGTCAAGATACGTGAATTAGGCCACTGAACTTTTCAAAACAAAACCAACACAGGTGAAATAAAAAATGTATTGTTTACTATATGGGTTGAAACTCTTACTGAACCCACTACCTACTGTAATCGATTATGTCAGTCAAAATGATTTAAGGGATCTATTCAGGACTACTCTAGAAAGTAAAAAAATCTTTCATAACCATTGAAGTCAAGGGTTCTTGCTTGAAGACTTATTTAATCATGTCTGTCGGTATTATAAGTGCCAAGAAGTAGGTATATAGCTAGGTAAAGGGTAGATATCTACCTAATCTACCTTACACTATAACCAGTAGACCAGTAGTGAATATTTTATTGTCAATATTCGACTTAGGCTACCTAGTCCCTACAAACGTAGGTTCTAGTTTGAAAGGTTTTGGCGTGAAATGAGGTAATAGGGGGCTGTAGTAAGTTAGACTAAGTATATTTTTCTATTAATAATTACTTTAAGTGCATTAAAATCAATAATCCATAAATAAAAATATTTAAAATTTTGCATGTCAATTACTCGCTTCGCCGCGCGTGCCCGCAAAAAGTATTTATGTAGTAATATTCGGCACCATAGGTACTTACGACTACATAAGGTTTGACCGCTACAGTTTGCAACAGTAGCCAGAAAAAAAATAAAAATGATTTTTCTCCATACAAATTTTCTTGTCATATTTTTTTTAAGCATGAAAGGCTCGTTTTATCGAAAAATGTATAATGACAAATGTTGATCAGCATTCAAAATGCTATCCAAAACAATTTTTGTTTCGGTGAAATTATGACTTTCGATCGTATGTCCACCTATTTTTAAAATCAAACTACTGTGCGACGAGGCCGAGGCTCGTTCGCGTCGGTCGCAGACCGACGTTCGCGATCGGGCCGTATCGAGCGCATAAGGCGCCCGATCAGTGGCGAACCCAACTAGAGGGTTGCCCGACCTACTCATTTGTATTTACTCTGCTAATAAGGTCCAACAACTCTCCTCTGTCACAAGTCATCCCTTGCGTCCGTGTGTACCTGCACGAGGAGCGCCCGCGTGGCGTCGAGGGCGGAGCGCCAGGCACGCAGCTGGCCGCGCTGCTCGTGCGAGTGCTGCCGCAGCAGCCGCGCCCACTCCGCCGCCAGCGGCCCGTCCAGACCGCTCATCCTGTGACCATAAACATTATTAAGCTTACGGATACACTAGGGCTGAGGCCTGAGTTGCATCAACTTACTTTAAACGCTATAACGTTAGTCATTATCATCATTTCAGCCATAGGACTTCCATTGCTGAACCAAAGCCGGTTGGTGACGGCCTGCATCCATGTTAAAATAAGATTGTGCAATACAGCCTTAGTCTATGTTCCTACTATTAATACGAGGATTGTTCAAATTCACGATGGTGCAAAAATTATATCTTGGACATTCCTTTATAGTACAGCATTTTCTTTCCCTCAAATAGAAAACGGCTATTGCTGGGATTACTACCAAATCATCCACTGAGTAGAAAGCCCGACTTCATTACGACTTCCGATGCGTGTTCTAGTTTTAAGAATGTTTCTGCCTCAGAAATTCGTTTTATGGAACATAGAGCTATCATTCGAATTACAAATCAAAAATAAAATATACTAAGACGTATTCTGAACATCTCATTTTACATGGGCGTGGCCCATAGATCATAAAACTGGTGGCCTTTTGACGTAAAAATATTATCTGGTTTGGATTATGAACTGGAAGATACAGTGTAGGTTAGCCTCCCATTTGATAGACAGACGATCTGGTAAAGGTTGCGATAGGAGACCTGTGGAAATTCTTAGCAGGCCTTTGTCTAACAGATAACATCCTCGGACTGAAACAACAATGAGGGCTATCGTTTTTGTACTTAACAGTTGGCACCCCTGGCGATTGACAGGACTTTACTCTACAGTGGCGCCATCTTGATGAGTGCAAATGCGATAGTCCTCCTACCACTTTAGCGCTCACCAGTTGGTGCCACTGTCTTCGCCACTAGCAAGTGACAGGACCTTACTCTACAGTGGCGCTAACCGGTGAGCGCTAAAACGATAGCCCTCATTCCAAACAGCAGCACGAATCGTTACATTCCCTCTAATATGGTCGAGTGAAGCGATGGCTGGTTCACTCGTAATGTCTGTGAACAGGCGCTGCTTTCGGGGACTGGTCAATCCAAGTTATTCCAATTTATGTATGCGAGTCATTTCTACTAGTATTTAGGTATGTAATTTGTAAGTCTAGATATTAGCACGTCACTACCGTGTTTAATATACCACGCAATTTTGTATACCCATTATAAGATACACTATACAAGAATGCATGGTAAATTCAGTGAACTGCTCCTGAATCGAATGTACCTACTACTGCTATTTCTATTTATTTATATTAACCGGCAGACAGTGGTGACTGAGTTTGTTGCGGCGCTTCTTCTCAGCACTTGCCAAATGTTGGTCTCGAAGCGCTGGTAGGGTAAAAAGATTATGAGACATGTAGAGGCTCCTTAAGAGCAAAATGACGATTTGTAAGAACTATTTATTAGTCCAAACAAATNTTTTGATTTTGAATTTGCCAGTGTGGAAAGGACCTTATTGGAGCTCTATATCCTGGCTATACTAGTTGTAGTGACACCACTGATTTATGAAAATAGAAGTGGAATTAGTCCGGCAGCAGTGAACGTTTTTGGCTGAAACAACAATGATTTGAAACAACAACGATTTGAAACAGCACGGACCTGGAATGCAGCTGTTCGACGTCGAGATGGCGCTGGTATTGGTACAGCTTCCAGTACAGCAGCGCGTTGATGAGCAGCAGCAGCAGCAGCGAGCCCAGCAGCCAGCGCTCCGTCCCTCCGCGCGCCGTCCGCGTCCCACGCGGTACGGGCGCACACGCTGGGCCCAGCACCGCCGCCACCGCCGCCGCTTCGGGTGGAGACGCTGCATAACATACACATACACTGGTCATCACAAAAATCGACCCTCCCGCGACAAGCACTTACAAACGCACGCATTTCCACTTCCCACCAATATTGGCACCATTTAAAAGCCTAGTTCTAAACTTCATTTCATTAAACGAAAGGGTTTTACCACAAAAATGTGTCTAGAAGGATCCAGAGTCACTTCTTCAAAAAATAGGTAGTTACGCTTGAGCTAACTTCTATAGTTATGAAACTATTAAGTTGGTGTCAAACTGTCTATTGATATCTTCATTTTTAGTAACAAATGCTAAGGCGGACGTATTCTGTCAGAATGCAGCACTTTTATTTTTTGGCCAGCACTTTTGATTTTGGACCAAAATGGATGATGTCCTTTGATATCTTTTTTTTTAAATTTTCATACAAAATAAATTGTATAAAATCCGATTTGTATAAAAATTAAAATGAAGATATCAATAGACAGTTTGACACCATACCCCAATAATTCAAAACCACAACTGTTTAAAAAAGACTGGTCTTAAAAACTTAATTAATTTTAAATTACCTGTAAATTACGATTTTTGTTCGGATTGATTTTTGGACCAAAAATATATGATACGTGGATGATGTCCATTCTCAATGATTTGGCCACTCTCCACGGTTGGGATCTGGGGTTGTTTATCAAAGTGTCAATAGCGAGACATACCGATGCCGACGGGTCGCCGATGCCGGCGGTGCTTGCGCGCGGCGGGCGCGGCGGCGTCGGCCTCTGCTGCCAAGCGAGCCTCCAGAACGCGCGCGTAATCCTCCAGCCCTGACATCGTGTTCTTCTCCAGGAAACCTGAACACAACACCAATACAATCATCACCATCATCAACAGCCCGTTACAAGTCTACTGCTGGACTATGAGCCTCCTCCACTATAGTGGAGGGTTTTGCCATAATCCGCTTCAAGCTTGGCAGGGGCAGGCGGGTTGGAGAGCGCAGTTTAAAAGATTGATGTTTTACAGAGAGCGCTGCTGCCTGTCCTAAGTCGCCTCTTACGACACCCGTGGGAAGAGTAGGGGTTGGTGACAAATGTATTCTACTCTGCCGTCACCACACAAATTGCAGTGTGGTGTACGTAAGCCGTTTGGTGACGGCAGAGTAGTATAGCAATACAATAATCTATACTAATATTATAAAGCTCAAGAGTTTGTTTGTTTAGTGGAACCACAGAATAATAATAAGTACTACCAGGCCTGTTCATCTCCGCGAGCTTACATCGAAAACAAAACACGCACGATACTATTTGACAAGGCCTCACATACGAGCGAACATTGACTCACGCACGCGTATTCTTGTGTATGATGGAAGAAAATAAAGAAAATGGTGTACTAAATACTGTGCAATATTTAACTGCCTAAATAATAATAAAAACACAGAATGTACTTTTTTAAGTTGCCTCAAGACACTGAGGGGTAAATAACTAGTTAATATTATTCATGATAATTCATGTATTTCCTCCGCCATTTTCCGCAGTTTGGCACCTCACGTCACATCATTTTACCGAAGTCAGCCCTATAGCTTCGGCGCAGTGCCGATCACTGACGTTTGTCAACAAAATGGTGCTTGACTCTTGAGACAGGCTAAATTACACCATTTGTTAATGACATTGAGCATACATTTTTTTAAATACCTTCGCGAAGTAAAACTTCTGTTCGTAGTACTTATTATTATTCTGTGATGAAACTGACGGGCCAAGCGATTGTGACGGCGGAGCGAGGCGATCGCAATACTATTCCTCATTGCTCGGCCATCGCTAGTTTCATGCCCGCAGACTTAGAGATTAGCGGTTTTGTTCCCCAGTCGAGGAAGCACGTCATGATGTCGTGCCCTGAGTGCCTGAGCAACTGGACGTAGGAGGATTTAATTAATGCTGCTAACAACGCAACACTTGTAGCGAAGTTTTGGGCTGACACTGTGAGGTTTGTTGTCGACATGATAAGAAGATTAGAGATTACATTCAGCTTGTGCAGTCAGCATCAAATGATTCTCAACACATCATTGTTACTATTGAAATAAGGTTGTGTTGTCAACTTTTCGGCCACGTTGGGTGACACGAACTATTTGACGCTGCTGACTGTACCACATTTTTGCTCAGTATAGCTGCTTCAACAAAGTACCGAAGCCGAGTACTTTCGTTTATTGAATATTTATACTAATATTATAAAGCTGAAGAGTTTGTTTGTTTGTTTACTTAAACGCGCTAATCTCAGAAACTACCGGTCCGTTTTGAAAAATTCTTTCAGTGTTAGATAGCTCATTTATCGAGGAAGGCTATAGACTATAATATACCATCACGCTACGAGTAATAGGTGCAAAGCAAAAATGATTTACACGCGTACGAAGTCGCAGGCATTGCTAGTGTTTATTATAAACAGCATTTGGCCAGCTCAAATAAAATCGATTTGACACACTGGATGTGTTAAGAATCGGGATAGAAGAGGGATAAATGATACCCAGGCTCAAGGAAGGGAAAGCGATATAATAAAAGGATAAAAGGAAGATACAGGATTAAAGGGATATAGAAGAGACAGACTGATGACAAGTGACATATAGAAAAATATAAACCATAAACGCTATCAAAAGAGGCCGTTCGTAACATCTCTCCCTCTCTCTCAACAATGATAGAATATGAATATCAAGAAAAGAGAGAGAAAGCGGGAGAGATTGATACGACCGGCCTTAAGGTGGGCTACCAAAAGAGTTAAAAGTTTATACTTTGTGACGTGACGTGGTGGTTCAAATTGTTCTGGCTTCGGGTCAGGGGGTGGTGGAGTCTTGCAGTCAGGTGAACAGATGAGGCGTCGTGCAGAAAGGAAGAGGCGTCGTGCAGAAAGG